CTCGGAGCAGAATCGGAGGCCCGTGTTGGCGGGTCATGGACGGGCCAGTGGGACGCGGCGTCCCCCCCTAATCAGGGCCCCGGTCGGGGACGTGGGTGGCTGGTGCCTGACCTGGGCCTCAGAGAAATGACTCATGGCGGGGAGGGCGGGCAGTTCAGAGAAACGGGCAGTGTCTGCAGGGCAGGTGCGCGGGGAGGGGCGGCCCCCGTCCGAGCCCCGTGCCAGTGCCCTGAGCCTTTACAGTGTGGGCTCAGGACCCGGGGTCCAAGTCCTGGCCAGGTGGCTGTGAGGTTCCCACGGCTGCAGTGCTGGGACCGTGGTGGGACCTCGCCCCCGACAGAGGCAGAACCTGCCCCACACGGGGACTCAAACCCAGCGACCCCCAGACGGGCCCCCGGCCTCCAGCACGGCGCGGGAGGGTGCAGGGGGGACTCTGGGGTCCCTCTGGAGACACATCTGCTCCCACCCCCGGTGCAGGCAACAGTTCCCACCTCGTGCCCCAGGGCGGGGGGTGCTGGCTGCCCTTGTGGGTCCCGACTCTCTGAGTGGCGCCCCTGGCTGTGTCTGCACCTGCCCAGCTGCCCGCTCGGTGTGGACGTCACAGCAGGGATGAGGGGGACCCGGTGTGGGTGGCCAGCACCAGGCTGTGCTGAGTGGCCAACGTCCCCGGCCGGTGCCCGCTGTCGGTGCCAACGATCCTTCGAGCCCAGACGCGGCCCCTCTCGGAGGGAGCAGGCACTCACGGCACAACCCAATGGGCCCCACAGGCTCTGGCCTCACGGCCCCCAGGCCCCCTCCCCGCTGCCTCCCAGGGCCCAGGAGCCAGCCGGGTGGGGACACTCCCGGCACCCGCCCGGTGCCACCGCCCAGCGCCGCCCGGGCGGCTGGTTTGCTTTCCCAGTTCACGTTCCCTGTCTGGGAGCCCTTATCTCGTCCCAGGCGTCTGGGGGCTGAAAGGGACAGTCCAGCCCCCACCCCAGTGGGCGGGGGTGGGGTCCCCCAGGGCGCTGAGCTGGTGTCCCCTTTCCCTGGGAATCTGCCTCCTCCGTCCTCTCTGGGAGCACGGGGGGCCGGGCGAGGGGACAGGAGCTTCTTGGGCGGGAGTCCCCGAGTGACCCGCACTCAGCCCGTCTCTGCCTGGTCTCGGGTCCCTGAGCCACGTCCGGTGGTGCTCGGGCTTGCTCTGGGCTCTGTGCTCAGGGATCGCTCCTGGTGGGACTCAGGGGACCGAACCCGGATTGACCACATGCAAGGCGGGCGCCCTCCCCCAGTGGACCGTCACTCCGGCCTGTGGGCCAGGTCCCGCGACGCCCACCCCTCCTGGGCCAGCTGCTGGCACCCGCCAGGGCTGCCCTCCTCCAGGGCCGGGCAGGACCTGTCAATATTTGTCCCGTCCGTCATGGTCCTTCAGATTCCTCCAAGTCCAGCGCTGCGGCCCTTGAGTCAAACAGCTCCGAGACGTGAGTCACACTTGGGACTCACGGGGCAAGCGTTCGGGGACTCCGCCCGCCCCTCCCGCCCCACAGACAAACTGGCTGAAGGGTGGGTGCAGTCAAGGGGCCCCAGATAGCAGACCGAGGGAGCCCTGCCGCGGACCGTGGGTCCATAGGTCCGTGGTTCTGTGAGTCTGTGGGTCCATGGGTCATGGGTCTGTGGGTGCGTGGGTCCATGGGTTTATGGGTCTGTGGGTCCGTGGGTCATGGGTCCGTGAGTTCGTGGGCCCGTGGGTGTGTGGGTTCATGGGTCCATGGGGCTGTAGGGGTGTGGGTCGTGGGTCCGTAGGTCCGTGGGTCGGGGTCCATGGGTCTGTGGGTTGTAGATCCGTGGTTTTGTGGGTTTTGGGGTTCGTGGGTCATGGGTCCGTGGTTCGTGGGTTCATGGGTCGTAAATCCATGGGTCATAGGTCTGTGGGTCCGTGGGTCCGTGGGTCTGTAGGTCCATGGTCATAAGTCCGTAGGTCTGTGGGTCCGTGTGTCTGTGGGTCATGGGTCCATGAGTCGTAGGTCCGTGGGTCCGTGGGTCTGTGGGTCTGTGGGTCCGTGGGTCATAGGTCCGTGAGTTCGTGGGCCCGTGGGTGTGTGGGTTCATGGGTCCATGGGGCTGTGGGGCTGTGGGTCGTGGGTCCGTAGGTCCGTGGGTCGGGGTCCATGGGTCTGTGGGTTGTAGATCCGTGGTTCTGTGGGTTTTGGGGTTCGTGGGTCATGGGTCCGTGGTTCGTGGGTTCATGGGTTGTAAATCCGTGGGTCATAGGTCTGTGGGTCCGTGGGTCCGTGGGTCTGTAGGTCCATGGGTCATAAGTCCGTAGGTCTGTGGGTCCGTGTGTCTGTGGGTCGTGGCTCCGTGGTTTGTAGGTCTGTGGGTCCATGAGTCGTAGGTCCGTGGGTCCGTGGGTCTGTGGGTCTGTGGGTCCGTGTGTCTGTGGGTCCGTGTGTCTGTGGGTCCATGGTTCCGTGGCCTCATCTCGTGTGCCAGAGCATCCGGGCACTTCTGGAACCCTGCGCTGTGTCCAAACTCTGGACTCATACAGCAGGCGGGTGAGGTGTGTGGGACAGTTCTGGGGCTGTCTGGAAAGTTCTAGAGCCCCTTCCTAGGGCCTGGATCTGGCTCTGCCCATCCCCAGGACCAACCACACAAGCTTCCCCCTCGAGGGTCCCAGACCCAGAGTGCCCCCAAGATGGGGCTCCATGCCAGGCTCCCTGGAAGTCTCCCCCTGCCCCCCCAGGGAGAGATGTGTGTGGGTGTACAGGACTCATGCCCCCCCCCCCAGAGCAGGAACCATGTTGTGTGCCACCCTCCACACATGCTGATGATGGGGGCGGAGGCAGAGTCGAGGGACACTCCGCTTGTGGCGGCGGGGACCCCTGCGAAGGGGCCGGGCCCAGGGCTCGAGGGCACATGCTGTGTTTGACGCGGGTGCAAGAAACTGCTGGGCGGCTGGGCCGGCCCCGCTGAGCCTATTTTAAACCTGGGCCCAGCCCAAGGCTGCGGGCCGGGCCGGCCTCTCGGGAGCTGTGTCCCTCCCTGGAAAGGGAAACGCTTCCCCTAATTAGACGCGTGGTACAGCCCCGATTACTGAGTGGCGGCCGGGCCTCACCCACCGTGGCTGGCCGGGGACTCAGCCTGACTCCTCCAGGCCTGGACGCCGGCGAGGGGTGAGGGCAGCCCCTCAGCTCTGGGGCACTGCCCAGCCCAGCCCAGCCCAGCCCAGCCCAGCCCTGGCCCCTCCTGCGACCACGCTGACCCCCCGGGGCAGCTGGCCTGGGTCCCCCGGCCCTGCCGGGTCTGCATCTCCGAGCGTTTCTCAGTTTCTCCGAACGTGGGCCCTGCCGGAGGATTCCAGCAGAACGCAGCTTCGGGCCAGCCAAGGAATGGAAAGAGGAAAAATGGCTTTGGTGCGAATGAATCAACATCTATTAATGACTGCTCAGCACAGCTAATAGCGGGGCATTAAATAACGCCCGGTTCCAAGTTTCGTCTACAATAGCCCTGCCCCGCCCCCCCCCAAGGTAAACAATGACAGTTAAAAATAACCCCGGGCCTATTTACATTTTCCCCCACTGAGCCTTTCTGGTTTATAGTTCTTCATTCCGGGGATAAGAATTCTAAAATTTTCTGTCTATTTACACAACCGGGTGATGGCTGCAAGCGCCCGCTGCCCGCGCGGCCCTTCCAAGAAAAATGAGTTTTTATCTGAACTCCGGCACGACAATGTGACGGCCGCGCGGCGCGGTCCCCGTGGCCGGCCGCCCCTCGCTGCCCCCTGCCCTCCCCGAGGCGCGGGGTCACGGCTCACGCCCAGGGCCTCCTGGCAGACCGCAAGGCCCAGCCAGCTCTGCCTTGCGGCCAGCCACAAACCCTCAGGGCCCAGTGCTCCCTGAACACAGGAGTCCCCCGTGCTGGGAACACGGTTGCGGGAGGGGTGGGGGGTGGGGGGCTGGCCTGCCCCCCAAGGGAGCTGAGGGCAAGGCTGGGAAACTGTACATGCTTTGCTCTGGGGGACTACTGAGCATTTCTGCCCGTTGTGGCAGTGTGGCATGGCCGGGCAGCAGCCCAGGGGCAGATGTCCTCCCTGTGGAGGTGGCCTGGGTCCCCCACCAGCTGGGGCATCTGCCTCCCCGAAAAGTGGGGTGCGACCTTGGCCAAGGATCTGAGAGTCTCTGGCCCAGGGCAGCTGGGCACCGTCCAGGGCCCTGCTAGGGGTCCGGGCAGTGCCAGGCGGCCTCTGCTGCCCCTCGCCCCGGGGCGCTGTGACCCAAGGAGCAGCTCCCTGGGTGCTGGAGGGCCGCACCCCAAAATGTGTTGCGTTTATCCCGAAGTCCCCCGCGGGGTGCCGGGGCGGAGAGGAAGGTTCAGTCAGACCTTCCCCAAGGCAGGAGGCAGGGCTGGGCCTGGGCACTGGGCTCGCCGGGCTCCCCGCCCCCCACGGGCACCCAGCTCCGGAATCTGTAATCACAGACTGCGCCGGCGGCCGCTGCCCCCCGCGGCCCCCGACTGGCCTCAACCCCCCTTCCCTGCGCGCACTGAAAGGGAGGAATTGGGTTCCGCCGGGGGAGGGGCCGTGCTGGGGGGGGATGTAGGGGGGCGATGGAAGCCCCCCATCCTCCCCGGCGCGCGCGCGCGCCCCTGTCCGAGACGGGGCTGGAGAGCGGGTGGGAGCGCGCGGGGGCGGGACCCGGGTCCCAGCGCCCTCCCGGGAAACTGTCCCGCGCCCCCCTCGCGCGCGCGGGGCGGGGCGGGGTGGGGCGGATCGGGGGGCGGCGCCGCAGGTAGTGGGGCGGGGGGGGGTGCGGGAGGCCGGCCCGGGACCCCCAGCCCAAAAGGCGGCGGGGGAGGAGCGGCCGCGGCGCGCGGGCGGCCAAGTTGGGCTCCGGCGCGGCGCGGCGCTTCGCATCCTGCGTCGGGGCAGGACCGGCCCGTCCGCTCCGGAGCTGCGCGCCCGCCCGGCCGCGCCCGGGGGACCTGACCGCGCCCTCCCGGGACCCCCGCGCCGGGCGCCCGCGGGGACCATGCAGCAGGGGGACATCCGCCTGGAGGGGCTGCGCCCCCGGGAGGACCCCGCGGACCGTGAGTAGCGGGGGGCGCGCGCGTGGGCGCGTCGGGGCGCGGGGGGGCGCGGGGGGCGCGGAGCCGGGTGGGCGGGACCGGGCGGGCGGGAGGGAGCGGGGGTCCCGGGGAGAGCGCGGGGTGGGGGGCTGCAGCGGGCGGGCCGGGCGCCCCCCGGGGCCGGCCAGGGGGCGCGGGCAGGTGCCGACCCCGCGGCAACTCCCCAGCGGGCCGCGTCCGCCGCGGGCGGATGGGCCGTTTCGGATGTTTTTGCTGGCGCTATTAATACACATAATATTTCCGTGGAGATTTATTTCGATACAAAGTAACTACTACGGCTTGAAGTCGCAGGGGGAGCTGGCGGGGGGGGGGGGCGAAGGCGGCCGGAGGGGGCGGCCCGGGCTTCCTGGGGGCCCTCCCCGCGCATCAATCACGACCCTGGGTATTTTTGTACCAGGCCTTTTAAAATAAATGACCCCAGTGATGTTCCTGGCGCGGGCGGGCGCTGCGCGAGGGGGGAGCGCCCCCGCGGGTCCCGGCTGGCTGGAGCCCCCCACCCCCGCCCCTGCCCCCGTCACACGCGCGGGGACCCTGGGGGGGTCTGTCCCCGTCCCGCCACTCCGCGCGGGGATTCCCACGGAGAAACTCCCACGGAGGAAGTGACCAGGGAAGCCAACCCCACCGCCGGGACCCCCCAGAGCCGCGGCCGAGGGCCCGTCCAGGTCCCACCCGCGTCCTGGAAGCCGCCGCGAGGAGCCGCCCGGGCCGGGATGGGATGCGGCGCTCCCGGGGGAGCGGAGGCAGATCCGAACCCAAATCCGCCCAGCCCTGACCGCTCGCTCCCGGCAGGGCCCGTCTCCCAGGGGACCCCCAGCCCTGTCCGCGTCCAGGCCTCGGGGCTCTCTGCTGCTCAGGCCAGCGGGGCCGCCACGTGGCCGCCAGGATCCAACCCGGGCACCTCGTCCTGCCCGGGGAGACCCTCGCTCTCGGTCCCCCCCCCAAGGACCCTGGGGAGGCGGGTGCAGGCTAGGGGCGCTGGTCATTCGCTCCCGGGGTACAGGTGGGGAGAAGGCGGCCAGAGACCCCGCCGCCCTGTGCGGCTGGCCGCGCCTCTCAGGGCCGCCTGGCGTTGGCTGGTCTGCGCAGGACTGATGTGGGCGCCCCCTCCCCACACCCAGGCCGGACCCGTGGGCTGTGCGCGCCCCTCACTCTGTTTGCGGGCTCCAGGTACTTACCCAGAACCGAGCCTTATTCCGCGGCTGGCAGCCCTGCAGGGCAGGAGGGTTGGGGCAGAGCCCGGCCCCCACTTCTGCTCCTCCCGGAGAACCTGCAGGGACCCCTTGTGCGGCTCAAACCGGGCTGCTCGGGCACAAGTATGTGTGTGTGTGTGTCTGTGTGTGTCTATGTGTGTGTGTGTGTGCCTGTGTATATGTGTGTGACTGTGTGTCTATGTGTATGTGCGTGTTTGTGTATGTGTGTGTCTGTGTGTCTCTGTGAGTGTATGTGCCTGTGTATGTGTGTTTGTATGTGTGTCTGTGTGTGTTTGTGTGTGTATGTATGTGTTTGTATGTGTGTGTGTCTGTGTGTCTGTGTATATGTGTGTATGTGTGTCTGTGTGTCTCTGTGAGTGTATGTGTCTGTGTATGTGTGTGTTTGTATGTGTGTGTCTGTGTGTTTGTGTGTATATGTGTGTTTGTATGTGTGCATGTTTGTGTGTGTCTGTGTATGTGTGTTTGTGTATGTGTGTGTCTGTGTGTCCCTGTGAGTGTGTGTGTGTCTGTGTGTATGTGTGTGTTTGTATGTGTGTGTCTGTGTGTCTGTGTATATGTGTGTGTTTGTGTATGTGTGTATGTGTCTGTATATGTATGTGTTTGTGTCTCTGTGTGTCTGTGTGTCTGTGTGTGTGTTTGTGTCTGTGTGTGTCTGTGTGTATGTATGTGTGTCTGTGTATCTGCGTATATGTGTGTGTGTGTGTGCTGGGCACCAGTGGGCCATCAGAGCAGCCCCCCTGGGAAGTCACCTGCCTTCCTTGGGTGCTCTTCCCTTTTTAGGGAGCCCTGGGTCCGGCCTGTATGTGGGTGGGGAAACTGAGGCCCAGAGGGTTATTGCTTGGGGTCCTGACGCTGAGAAGCGCTAGAGGCAGCCCGGGCCCGCAGGGCCGAGTGTGGGTCCTTGTGCCGTCCTGTGCCCAGGAGGCTTGGGGCGCCGAGCACGCGGGGCACGATGTGTGGGTAGGCCTGGGGCCCGTGGAGGGGGCGGGCTGAAGGCTCTGCTCGTGCCCAGGCCTGGAATCCGTGTGGGGTGCGCGAAGGTTCGGGAGTCGGGGAGACTCGAGCGGTCACCCCGGGTGCCCAAGACAGTAGAGAAGTGGCCACAGGCCCCGCGGGGACCCAAGGGGGTCGGGAGACGCAGGGCGCCGCTGCATCTGTCCTGCGCCGGCCGGGGCTGGCCCGGTCACTGCGGGTCCCCACACCTCCTCGTCGCCCGCAAGGGCCCTCGAGGCCGGAGCACCGAGGACACTTGACAGCCGCCCGGGGCTCTTGTAAACAAGCTCCCGAGGCAGCCGAGGGCCGTGGGCATCCTGGAGCCGCCCTGCCCCAGCCCTGTCCCTGCCTGTCCCCAGCCCTGCCCCGGCCCTGCCCCGGCCCCGGCCCCGCCTGCCCACCCAGACCTTGCCGCCCTGCACTGGTCCTTTCTTTCCTTCTCTTTCGCTGGAGCGGTTTCTGAGTCAGTGCTCGGGAGTCCGGGTCCCTCCCTGTGGCTCTGGCCAGGACAGGCTGTGTATACCCCAGGACAGGCTGCATATATGCCCTGTGACAGGCTGTGTGTAACCCGGGACATCTGTGCGTACACTGGGACAGACTGCATGTACCCCAGGACAGGCCGTGTGTATCCCTGGACAGCTGTGTGTACACCGGGACAGGCTGTGTATATCCTGGGACAGGCTGTGCATAACCCAGGACAGTCTGCGTATACCCCGCAACAGGCTGTGTATACCCAAGGACAGGCTGCGTGTACCCCAGAACAGGCTGTGTACCCTAGGAGAAGCTATGTGTACCCTGGGACAGGCTGTGTATACCCTGGGATAGTCTGTGTACCCCAAGACAGGCTGTGTATAACTTGGGACAGGCTGTGTGTACCCCGGGACAACTGAGTGTACACCAGACAGGCTGTGTGTACCCCGGGACAGACTGTGTGTACCCTGGGACAAGCTGTGTATACACGAGGACAGGCTGTGTGTATCCCGGGACTGCTGTATGTACACTGGGATGGGGTGTGTACCTAGGGATAGGCTGCGTATAACCTGGGACAGGCCGTGTACCCTGGACGGGCTGTATGTACCCTGGAACAGGCTGTGTACCCCGGGACAGACTGCGTGTACCCCCAGACAGGCTGTGCATACCCCAGGACAGTCTGCGTATACCCCGCAACAGGCTGTGTATACCCAAGGACAGACTGCGTGTACCCCCAGAACAGGCTGTGTACCCCGGAACAGTCTGTGTGTACCCCCAGAACCCCAAGACGGGCTGTTATACCCCGGGACAGAGTGCATGTACCCCCAGACAGGCTGTGTTTACCCCCAGGACAGGCTGTGTGTACCCTGGGACAGGCTGTGTGCCCCGGGCTAGGCTGTGTGTACCCTAGCACAGCTGTGTGCCTTGGGGACAACTATATACCCCCCGGACGGCTGTGCTCGGGACGGCTGTGGGCAGGATAGCTGTGGCGGGGATGGCAGTGTCCAGGGCTCCTTCTGCCACAGCTGGGGTCAGCTGCCCCTCAGGGTCGGCTCGGATCCGGGCTCGGCCAGGCCGGGTGTCACGGTCGCTCTTTCCTCCTGCTTTTGTTTGTGTTGGGGCCACGTTGGGCGGCACTCGGGGGTCGCTCCCTGTGCCGCTGGGGCACTGCATGGCCCTGGGGGGCGTGAGCAGGGTCTGCTCCTGCCAGCACGCCCGTCCTGTAAACCCTGTAAACGCTCCTGGCTCTGCGGCTCTCGCGGGCGCGTCCTCGCAGCCCTCTCGGCAGGGGAGGCCGTGGGGACACCGGAGGGCGGTGTGGACGCAAGGGTGGCCGGGGGGTGGGCGGTTTGTGGGTGAACTGGAAGCGGGGTGGGTGAGTGGATGGATGGGTAGGTGGGTGGAAGGTGCATGTACGGGTGTGTGTGTGGGTATGTGGGTGTGTATGTGTGTGTGTGTGGCTCTGACGGACAGAGGAACTGGCAGTTTCCTGACTGTCTCTGCTCCAGCCTCCGACACAGCTTGACAGCCTGTCACTCCGACTTTCACACTTGGTGGTAAGACCCTCTGACAGAGGGGGAAACCGAGTCCCAGAAAGAGCAGCCAACCTGAGGTCGGACCTCCAGGGGCCCATCCCGGGCAGGCCCTCGGGGCCGGGTGGATGGACGGGCAGGGAAGCTTCCTCCACCCACGCCCTGGCTGTCTGTCTTGGGGGGCGGGGGGACGATCTCGGGGGTCCTGCCGCCAGGCGCCCCCTCGGCCTTGGCGCTGGGCCCGGGGGCCTGGGACCTGCTGCTTGACGACGACGCGCCCGCTGTGGCTTTCAAAGCCTGACCGCCCTCGGAAACCCACCCGCGGGGTCACGTGGCCGCCGGGGCAGAGACGCCAGGTCTGTGAGCTGGCCCGGGGTGGGGGTGGGGGGGCCTGCCCTGCATCCGCCCACCATGGCAGTCTCCCTTCTAGCTGCTGCCTGCGGGGTCCCTGCTGCCCCCGGCCCTGCCTTCCACCTGCTGGGGTGGGATTCGGGGCTCAGACCCCCACCCCCTTTCTGCAGCTGCGCCCCTCCTGCCCTCTGGGTGTGCCAGCCACACCGCGCTCACACCGCAGCAGGCTTCATCCTCCCCTTCCCCGCTCAACCCGCGTCCTCCAGCCCCACCCGGGGGCGCGTGATGATCTTGAATGCGTTTGCGTGACGCTGGGCTGCTGCGAGCCAGGAACCGGGGGCGTGAGGGGCGTCGTCCTCTCGGGGCTTTGTTCCTGGACGGTGGCGGTGAGGAGCGTTGGGGC